TTCCAGATGATTCTGATGCCTGCTAGTTTGAGAACCAGAGATGTACAAGCTAGAAGTCTAACCTTTGGAGCCAGAGTGACTGGGTTTGAACACCAGGATCTGCCCCCTGGTAAATGGTATAACTTTGACCAACTTACTTAACTTACCTAGGCTTTAATTTCCTCATCTGTAAAATGAAGATGATAATAGCTACTAACTCATTGGAACCCTGGCAACAAGATAATACATGTAAAAGTTTGGCAAAATGCTTGCTACCTACTCAACACTCAATAAATGTGAGCAATTCTTTTCTCTGCTGTGGAGATTATCACAGATTTGCTTTTATTCCAGTTTACTCATCTATTTATTTGACTAGCATTTATTGAGTATCTACCACATGCCAGACTTGGACACTCAATAACACAGGATTGCTGGCTGCACACCAGAATAATCTAGAGAGATCTGAAGACATCCCACTGCCTGAGCCCTACTCTACACCAAAACAAAGAGAATCTCTGGTAGTGGTGCCCAAGCTTGGGTATGTTAAGCTACTCAGGATATATTAATGGAAGAAGTGAAAATTACAGCCCAAAGCTCAAGCAGCAGGGGCCAGATGTATACACGTGCTCCCAGAGAAATTTTTAGGAGGAGCTGTTAACCCAGCAAGCTTTCATTGGTATTTATATATTCCTCTCCTGCTTTACTGATCTTAGGAAGCACAAATCATGTGTTCCGACATCTTCAGTTCTGGTCACCATGCCAAGACAGAGAGTAGATGCAGAAGTTTGTAGATGCAATGAGAAGTGAGCTCTATTTCTGGGACTGTGCCCTCCCAATTCCTGGAAGGCTAAGCACAGTGTTTTAGGACAGAGGAGATTATATAGCCCTCATCTCCATAACTAACTTTTGTAAATGAACATTTCCCTAAATATACTGCCCAGACCTGAAGGCTAGACATAACGGTTTCACACACCAGTCTCCAAGGGAAGGAGTGACAGGGGCAAAGCTTTTAAATTAATTAAAAGAGACACTCAGACACACTTCATGCCACTCTTTAATCTCCATTCTCCTGTGATAAATACAGAATGACAGGACCAGGACCAGGTTAACAAGCTGAAGGCAGGACTCGATGGAAACTCGCCAAGCAGCCCTCAGAAACTCTTCAACAGGGCCCAGCGCTCAGAATAAAAACGACGAGCAAGACATCACCTTGCCTCTGCTGTGTCACTGATGCGTCACCAGGGTGCTCTGAAGCATACCCACTGGACATATTATCCTACTCTGCTTTGACTAGTAGCAATTTAAAGAACAGATAAAAAGGAAATAGCATGCATTGTAATTAAGAAGTCAGAGAATAATAATGATTACGATTTATAGAAGGTTTTCTAGTGTCAGGCACTGTGCTAAAGGCTTCTCATGTAGTATCCCATTTAACTGTGGTAACCAGCTTCCCACCAATCCTTGCCTCCAAGTATACACACTCTTGTGTAGTACCCCTTGTACACTAAATCAGAGCTAATATATGCGACCAACGGAAAACTTCAGAAGTAACAGTCAGTGATTTCTGAGATTAGACCATAAAACACATCATCACTTTCAACAGGACCTCTTGAGTCACTTGCTCTGGGGAAAGCCAGAGCCATGTCGCGTGGACACTGAAGCAGCCCTATGGTGATGCCCCAGTGGAGAGGACCCAGCCATGTGACGAGGCCACCTTGGAAGAGGATCCTCCAGCTCCAGTCAAGCCTTTGAGTCTTCCAGATGAAGCCCCAGATAGCACAGAAAAGAGAAGTCATCACTGCTGGGCCCCTGTCTAAATGCCTGACCCATGGAACCCATGAGATAACTGTTTTAAAAACAAAATTCTGTGCTTTGTTATTCAGCAACAGAAAACTCATACATAAGAGCTAGATACTCTTATTTTATAGTTGATGAGAGTTGAAGAGATTCAGTCATTGGCACAGTAAGTGAAGCGATGGGGATTTGAATCAGGATCACAGATTTGAAGTTCTGGCTCCCATCCTGTCGTACTATTTCTGACAGATAAGCATGAGGTGTTTAAACTATTTCCTACTCTTGTTATCAAGGGAAAACTAATTATTTAATAGAAAGCTTGCAAGCACTTTGTCTGTCCCCAAGACACTTTGTTCATCCTACATGGCAACTACCATCCTACCTTGTAGTTTAGCCATTTCTCTAAGGACAGAAGTTTCTGGAAGGTTGGAGTAGTATCTTCCATATGGCAGCCTTGTAAATAGTAGAAGAGTGTGGATAAGGTGTCACGTGAATCCTGTGGACTCCATCAACTCACCCGGTTTGACAGCTCTGCTCTACCTACCATTTTCAGGTTAGGTGATCTTAGGCAAATTACCTAAATATTATGAGCCTCAGATTCCTCACTTCTACAACAAGGCCAACATCAACACACACTTCTGTTCGCACCACATTAGAAACATACTCAAAGTATTTAACACACTGCCTGGCACATAATGAGTGCACAATAACTATTACCTATTTGAATTATTATCAAATATGTGTTTAAAAACATCCAACACTTTAAATGGCCACACAAAAGCTCTTCCCTCAATCTGAAAAACAATTTCCAAAGAAATAGCAGTAGGTCTTGGGAGTATAGAGATTTCACTCTACAGGCACCGAAACCTTTGGAGACACTTTGGCCACATTTCCTGGTAGAGCCTCGTCTGCCCTGCTAGAGTGATGAGAGAGGTTCTGAAAAAGCTGGCCTTTACCACCATCATCCAGTGGGACACGTGCAGACAGCAATTTGGCTCTTTCTTGCAAGAAGAAAAGTAAGGCAAGGAGATTCTCCCTTCCCATGGCCTTATAAACAAAGGAGGAGAGGGATTTTGCTTCCATCCTATCTCTTAATCCCATTACATTCTTATCATTTTGTCAGCACAGACAAAGCTCCTTAGCTCCTGCCAACACTCACTCTAATGCTTTCCCTTGAGGTTCATTCTTTCTTGGTCTTAGAGCTAATAGGTTGTCAAGTGTCTTACTGTCCCCTTAGGTGATTTCTACTCAAATGATGTTTAGAGTCCCACCTCCCTTTGAACTTAGCTTTATGGCTCCTATTTTTTTATTTTCCATGCTCATGAAAAAGTTTCCTATGTAAAATTCTGTTTAGGGTCCAAAATATTTCCACAACCTTCTACTTCTGGGTAAGACTAAGAAAAGGGAAATTGGAAGAAATGCCAGCCACATTCACCCATCTCCAAATAAACACAAATTACCAGCACTACAAGGAGCTGGGTTAAGTTCTAGAGTGTGGCAGAGGGAGATATATGTGACCCTCCCCATAACAGAGGATTTTTAAAAGTATTAATAACTAGGAAAGAAAGTGCCAAATGAAGGATGCCATGAGTGGCAGGGCTGGAGGGCCCAGGAGAGTGGAGGAAGGAAAAAAGGTGACTGTTGAGGATATGCGAGAGCAGGAGCAGGCAGTCCTGGATGGAGACTATGAAGGATGGGAGGGAGTATCCTGACCTGAGGGAGCAGGGAAGGGCACTCCAGGTACAAGGAGTGAAAGGCAAGGAGGCAGGAAAGCATGAGGCAGGGACGAAAAACACTACGGATTTGTAGAGAAGCAAGGACAGAGATTACAAAACATAAAGTTGATCAGGGGAAAATATACTGCCAATAACTAGCAATAAAGATCTTTAGAAAAGAAAAATCGAAACATGCTTTTGCAGATTACAGTGCATATTGGTGACATATAGATTTCATGATTAGGAATAAGTGACATATTCCAATCAAATTCTCAGGGACCATGAACATAAAACCCTAAGGTTAGAGAAGTGTATTTTCAAAGGCAGCAATGTCAAGTGGACTTGGAGACCACTCTTCCCAACATGTTAAGTAAGTTTCCTTCACTGAAGGTTTTGCTCGAACCACTAAACTAGCTACAAGTCAAACACTTTCCAACTAGATTTTTCCTATTCTAGCTTTTAAAACTATTACCGAAAGTGAGAAGGCACACATCAGATGACTTAAGTCAGGGATCTGTTTTTTATGGGTGGAGCCATTTCAATTATCTCCAAAAGCCAATATCCATTAACCAGACGTTTCAAGGAGGGGTAAATGTATATCAGAGGTGAACACAATTATTGATAGACCTAAGGGTGTTCACACCTTAGTATTTTCTATCCACCAGCCCAAACTTAGAAAGCTACTATACAAAGTAAGCTCTCAAAACAGGAATTCTGTAAATCATAGTTGCCTCCACTTTCTCCTTATAACCAAAGAACTAAATTCCAAAAAGATCCAGAAACCTCCACATTGCCTTCCATAGTGGCTGCACCAATTTGCATTCCCACCAAAAGTGTATGTGAGTTCCTTTTTCCCCACAGCCTCTCCAACACTTGTTATTATTTGTCTTGTTGATGATAGCCATCAGATGATTGGATAAAGAAGATGTGGTATATATGCACAATGGAATACTATTCTGCTATAAGAAAAGATGAAATAGTGCCATTTGCAACAACGTGGATGGATGTTGAAATTATTATGCTAAGCAAAATAAGTCACACAAAAAAGTTGAGAACCATATGATTTCACTGATATGTGGGATATAAAACTGAAAGCAACAAAGGAACAAGAAAAACAAAGAAACAAAAACTTATGGACACAAACAATAGCTTAGTGGTTACCAGACAGTAAAGGGGGAAGGAGGTGGTAGATAATGGTAAACAGGGTCAAATCTGTGGTGATGGAGGGAGAACTGACTCTGGGTGGTGAACACACAATGTGATAAATAGGTGATGTGTTACAGAATTGTACACTTGAAACCTATGTAACTTGACTAATCATTGTCACCCCAGTAAACTTTAATTAAAAAAAAAAATCCATAAAACATCTCAGGCCATCAACCAATCTCAAATGGTGAGCTCTTGAAACAGGAAAAGGTCCCTGGACATTGTTTCTGTATCCTTCCAGTCCCAACAGATGTTCCCTGCACAACACGAATCTGGATGACACAGCCCCAGGCCAGGCGAGCTTACCATATACCACATGCTTGGCCACTTGGGATCATTGAAGTAAGTAGACTGGGCACGACTGAAGTCATAATCTCTCTTGGTCCGTTTTTTTACCACTTGCTGTTGGATCCATTCCACCTGCCAAGAAGAAGGACATTTGGTAAGTGTTCAAGTTCCATCAGGGTTAGCATAACATAAATGACAGTCTGAAGTATTTCCCATCTTAAGTTAATTCTGTTTAAGTCACAGGCTTCATTCTGGCTGCTAGCATCTCTGAGTCCAGGGGCTCCGAGATTCTCTAAAAGCCTAGTTTTATTTTATTTTTAATTCAAATTTTTTTTGTATCTTTATGACAGATCACTCAAAAAAAAAAAAAAAGCCTTTCAGCCTTTTCAGAAAGCATACTTTATTTACAGTTTACTCCAAATTGACAGTGTTAATTTTAAGGTCATTTTTTTTCATCCTTACCTTATACTAAAGATCAACAAACTTTTTCTCTAAAGGTCCAGACAATAAATATTTTAGGCTTTGCAGGTCATATGATCTCTATTGCAACTACTCATTCTGACGTTGTAGTGCCATTAGGCAATACAGTATAAATGAATGGGGGTGACTGTGTTCCCAATAAAACTTTATGTACAAAAACAGATGGCAGGCTGGATTTGGCACACAGGCCACAGTTTATGACACCTGCCTTATACTTTACATCAAAATGTTTTAATGTTCTCGAATTACACATGAGATTTAAAAATCATCTTGGGATCAAATGCTCTAGGATCACAAATTTTCAAAAAAATGGCTTTCTACAACATAGTGTGGTGAAAAAAGCACTATTTTGGGGCAATCAGAAAACCAAACCTCCAGGCCTATCTCTGGGGGAAAAAAAAACAAAAAAAAAACACCCTAAATTTTCTGACTCATAGGCTCCTTGCCTGCTCTAAAAGTCAATTCCAACGCATCAAATTTGAGAAAATCTTAATATTTACTGGCAACTTATGCTTAAACATAGCAACTTGGAGCTCTGAGTATAATTACAAACTAAATGGTAGGCATATAAATGAGGGTATTTTAAAAAACAGGTGATCATTATGGCAACATAAAAACAAACCTGCTCCATTTTGGTGGAGCATCTCAAATGCGGTATCTGCCTGACGGCATTCTACAATTTGTTCCCAAATTTTCCCTCGTTCAATTATTCTGGCCATAGCTAATTTTAGTCACAATACTCTAAAATGTTCTGGTTCCACTATTTATCCCTTCTCTCCACAAAGAAATTAAAAATCGGGGGCCTTTGTAGTCCACGACTGTGATTGCATGCCTACCCATTCAGTAAAGATTTCAAAACCTCTCTTGCCTACTTGATTAAAGATTACTGGAGGAGAAGGAACACTAAGGTACTGACTAACAAGCTTAAAATGCATACCTGTAAATAAGGTACTAAAGGCCAAGAGCCAAACTAATAAATTTCTATGTTTCTTGTACTGAGAAATAGATGCAACAGGAATATTGGTATGCAAGGGGTATTTAAATAGTGACTTCCTAATTACATCACTAACAAAGCAAACTGAGTCACATGGCCTCCTAAATAAATATAAAATCTATTTATGATTAGGATTACAGTTAAGCATCACGTATGTGGCCTGCTCTGATAGGTCATTTAAGCAAAATTGGCACAGAAAAAAGCCAATATATGAAAAACAATATTCTAGAAAATGAGAGTTTTTCTGATCCTGTTTTAATTAATTTAGACCAAATGACTCTAGAATCATTCTATACCACCCCCTCTCCACCCCCTCACACATGAGCACACTGGCTAAACGGTATTACATGTTATTTCTTTAAACCAATAGACTACATTTTTCTTTAATCCAATAGACTACATTTTAGAAATCACATTGAATCTAATGTGGCATTAAAAATGGTGTATTTTTTTTTAATAATGAAGAGTATAGTTTTTAAGTAATTGTTTCTAAAACTACAGGAAAAAAATCAATTTCCTTCTCAATCAAAGTGGAACAGTAAGCATGGGCATGCATATACTTTTCAATTTCCAGGAAACATTTTAATCTCTTCATTTCAAACAATCTTTCTAAGGAATGAGTTTCATTCACTCATTTATTCACTCAAAACACTTTAAGTGCCAATTCTATACCAGACACTGTACTGGGAATATGAAGATGAGAAAGAATAGCCTTTGCCTTTGAAAGACTTAACATTTTACCAAGGAATATTTAGCCAGTATTCCACAGTTCTCTACTTCATAAAAATGAAATTATCTCCATCACTGACATCTGATGCAGGCCCTATCACTGTATTAATCAGACCACTTATGAAAATTTTGACTATGCATATTACATTTGCAATCTTTATATTCCTGTCCATAAGTCTTATCCCAATAAGACTGAAGCATTTCATATTTGCACACTTGCTAAAAGAAGACCACAGATCTGTTTAGACAGAACTCTTTTCAAACTAATCCTGTATTGGCAGTTGCTATTCCTAACAGAGCTTCCATAAATTCCAAACTGCCAACATATATGAGTGTATAAACCAGAAAGTGTCAAATCTCCCCCAGTGTGGATTCAATATAGAGATTTCTAGTGATCAGGACAAGTCTATACTGAGGCAGGGGTGGATAATTGTTTCTACAATGTACTTCACCCTACACACACACAACACTCACAACACAAATGGGATAAGCATGTGAGAACACCAAGTGACAGTCATTTTCCTAGATGAACAATATGTACTAAAATAGAACAAAATATCTTACCAAACAGCATCTCTTCTGTAATTTTACCAAACAAAAACGCTTAGTTACAGGGCTTGGTGGCTAGAAAGTGGCACAGCAACTTGGCATCTAGATTTGACTATAAGCCACTTTGACTGATCACAGGGCTGTAATGCTCAAGAAAAGTACAGTGGGGATTTTTTTAGAGTCAGACACCATGTATTTTGCCTTGGTGCTTTATGAGTATGCACATATAGCCCTACAATTTTTGGAAAGTGGGAAAAGCGTCTCTTGGATCGGAAGGTTTCTATGACTGGAAACACCATATTTGTATTTTTAAACTATTATCCATATGTCTGTCCGTAAGCCCTTTAAGAAAAAGCTCAGAGGTAATGCATTATACAGATTTCATTTCTTGCCAAGAAGCTCAATGCAAAGAAAAGACACTTAGAAGTTCATCTTCATAAAACTATGGTCAGCCCAGGAGAAGAAAAAAACGTGTTTTCTCTCACTGGTTTAACTTCTAAAAGTGCTATTTCCTATATATTAAGGAACTACAGTTAACCCAGAGTATAAAAACCACATGACCGCTCTGAGCAACAGCGGTTTGATGCCCGGCCCAAGTTGAGCTGCTGCTGAGCTGCCAACAGGTGGCTGGATGGCTCAGCGAAAAAAAACAAACAAAACACACACACACACACACACACACACACACACACACACAACGCATGACCTTGAAAATCAACAGTCTATCCTCCATTAATTTCAACATACACGTGCTCCATGGTTTTAAGGACACTCCTTCCCTTTATTCATAGAGCTCTCCCTCCTCCCTGCACAGTCCAAGTAACCAATGGGCATTCGCCTCTTCAGAATCCTTGCTAAAGATGTTCTCGTTCATCAGATTTCACTTGTCGAGCAAAATGTATTAATTGATAATTATAGGAATCCTACCCCCACAATCTCAGCTGAACTCATATGCCATTATTTTGGAATTTCCCAACTTTCTGATACCATATACATGAGGAAGGCAATTGTCACCAATAAGGGGAAAAGATATTGTCATACAAACACACATTATACATGTTATTATATAAATACAAATGGAAAACAAACTATAGCATCATGAGAGATAATTCTACATGGTATCACTTATATATGGAATCTAAAAAAACAAAGAAGTCCAACATAGAATCAGAGAATAGAAAAGTGGTTGCCAGGAGCTGAGGGGTGGAGGTGGAGATATGAGAGGCTTGTCAAAGGATAGAAATTTTCAGCTATAAAATGAATGAAGTTCAAGATCTAAGGTATAACATGGTGACTATAGTTGATAACACTGTATTGTGTATTGAAACTTCCTAAGAGTTAAATTTTTCACACACTAAGAAAGGATAAATATGTGAGGTGATGAATATGTTAATTACTAAATGGGGGGAATCTTATCACAATGTGTGTGTATACATATATTATACATATATATTAATATCTTACAACTTTATATGTCAACTATGCCTCAATAAAGCTGAAATTAAAAAAAATTATGGTGTCACTTTAAAAATTTGTCCTACAGTGAGGAGGAATCAGCCTTTTAGATATTAAATTCTTTTAAAGCTAATGATTAAAACATTCTTCGGTAGCAATTATGTACAGATATATCAATGGAATAGAATGGAAAGTCAAGAAATTGACCCAAAATATGTAAGAACATAGTATATGATAAGGGTGCAATCCTACATCAGTGGGGGAAAACAGATTACTTCATAAATGATGTTTGAACAACTAACTGAGGGAAAAAATTAAAATTGAAACCATTCTCATATCTTACATCAGGATCAATTCCAAATGAATCATATTTAAATATAAAAGTAAACAAATTAAACCATAAAAGAACCATGACAAATATGAGAGGTTTTAAAAAATAATCTAAGAGTGGAAAATGTTTGTCTAAGTATAATAAAAAAATTTAAAAAAGTGATTTAAAAAAATGATGAATTCAAATACATAAAAAATAATTTTTGCATGGAAAAAAAGCTTCAAAAGGAAAGAACAAATTGGGGAATGTTTACAGTTCCTACCATGGACAAAAGGCTATGTCCCTAATATATAAAGAGTTCCTACAATCAATAAGAGAAAAATTCAACTGGAAACAGGTGAAGGATAGGAGTACAATAATCTCTGACAAGATAAATTAGGTTCCTTAAACATATAAAAATATGCCTTACCTCATGTGTATAACGACAAAATCAAATTAATACTACACAAAGAAACCACTTTTCACCTTTCAGATATAAACAATCTAAATATAATAACATACTAATTAGGGAGGGAGTGAGAAAATAGTCATTCTCATATAATGGTAATGGAAATGGAAACCTACAACTCTATAAGGAGTAAATACCTACAAAAT